GAATATGCTTTATTTGTGCAAAAAAGGGGAGATAACAGAGGCGCAAACTTCATGGTCTTTAATTATTTATAATACCATGAAAGTCCCAGATATGATTTCTAGTCCATTGTGTGAAGATGTGCACACAGAATTTGAAGAGACACATTTTGCATTTTAATAATCCTCCTAACGACCAACTTCTTCAGCCCGTTATGTTATTGCTGGTACCTATAGAAAGTAGGGGAGAGTGGAAAAGTAAGAAATGAGTCCACATTGTACCATACACAGTTGGGAAGTTTATTTGAAGGTTAGTCTTGTTGGGCTACATCTAATGTGTTGGCTTCCGTGGTTAAAGCCATAGTTCTTACTGCAGTTCCCAGCCTTCAAGTACTCTGACTCTGTTCCTGCTAAAACTAACTTTTGCAAAGCTACCACATTTACAAACTATAAAAGTGTAGATTATGTTCACACATAAATGTTCTGCTTCGCAGTTTTGCTCCCAACAGGAGAACTGAGATGTTTCAAAGCCAGCATCCAGGCTCCTCCTTCTGTGTGGGCCGTGTTCCAGCTTTTCCTTCAGAGAAACTTGCACCGGATGGTGCAAACTTCTGAATTTGACTTTAAGGATTGATACGTGTGGGATAACAGAGGAGGAGTGGTCTCACAAGTTATTATACTAAAGGCAAAACCAAAAAAAGACGTGAATGATTTGTGTTCACCTTGCCTATTTTGAGCCCCTTTGGGGATAGGCTCTCTGTTTTGTGTCAGGAGAGGAAGAGGATGAAATACTTGGCTGTGATTTTTTGCATGAGCCTACTGGCAAGAGGGGTCTTAACTCCTGGAGTACTGCAGCTGCAGGTGGGCATCTTTATTAGTGAAGAGGGATGAGAGATGAGCCTTGCAGTTACTGGGAGGATGGGTTTACAGCTTAGCTAGAGGGTCTGTCTGGAGCTTTCACTTGCGAGTCCGTGTGAATATCAATGTATGTCCCTCCGAGGAGATGTGTGTGTGGTTTTAACAACTGTCCATCTGGAGTGACTTTCATTTAGCTCCCCCTCCCCCAGTGTTTTCTTGCACAAAGATGTAAAGAAAAAGTCGAAGAGCTTCAACCTCCACTGTCTTTTACTCTCTATCACACTGAAGCAGCTCCGATGATTTTCAGTTGTTCAGCTGAGCATCCTCCAGCTTTGCAAAGCATCCAGAGCATTTCTGATTCTCTTAATGCCAACTGCTCTTGCATGAATACCAGCAGTCAGCCAGACTTTCCTTCTCCTCCCTTCCTTCCCTGTACAAATTGCTTCCCCAGGGCCATCCAGGGCTCATCTAGGAGGGAAGGAAATCAGTGTGCTTCAAAACCCAGCTGTCACTGGGTGAATAATTCTTTTGAATGATGAATGTAGCAGGTAGCTCATCTACTCAGGAAGGTCCTAAATTTGATTTTGTTTTTCTTTGCTATCAAGAATGTGCTGCAGAAATGTCTTTTGGCACAATCAGTGAATGCCCCTTCAAATCCCAAGGGCGAATGCTCCTGAGTTCCTGTGGGTGGATGAGTTGTGTTCATCCAGTGCTGTGTCCAGGAGATGGAGATCAGTCCGGTTCAGGACCAAGGTGCTTCTGTCTGGTCTGTCTTTGCTCTCAGGAGTGATTTGCAATTTCATTTTGGATAATGCCTACCTCCGTGTGGGTATGCATCCACTCTTTAGGCGGTAACAAAGATTTGTGGTGGAGTCAAGTCCTTTCCAATGTCAAGGAACTGTCCTTCAGACTTCCTATAATACTGTCTCTGCAGTCGAGGGAAAAGTTTGGCATGTGTGGAAGGCTGTTTATAAGTCTTAGCACAGGTCTTCCACCCTGGAGCATCTTAGAGCTGGTCTGGACCTGCACACTCTGTTAATCTTGGCTGAGTCCTGAGGTGCACCTATGTTTGTCAATGAATCTTTCTGAATTCATATGTAATGCCAAGAGACAAAAAGGTGCACACTTTGGACGTCCCCAGAGCCTTGCTCTTGTCTGTTGGCTTAACAGGACCAAACTCTTAAGCTGTCTCCCATCAATTTTACGGTTGTCCCTGGCTTGTTGAGATGCCACGTTATCACAGGGGACTCAGGTGCACCACGCTGCGTCTCCACCAGTCACTCCTTATCTGCCTTGACGTGCAGAGGAGAGGTTGCCACATCTCATCAGGTTACACAGTTGGTGGCTTTCCACCGGGGTGCAGTAATACTTGAGATTAGCAGCCACATGGAACAAACTGCTGTTGCTTGCCAGGCAGTAAACCCTCATCTCTTTATTTTTGCTGTGTTTGTTCTTTTTTTTTTTTTCTTCAATCTTGTTTTAGCAAAGGCAGCTGGCACCTTCTGCCTCTCCTGTCAAGAAGGGCTACAGGTGCTAACCACCTATAGAAAGAGGTATATGTGTAGAAGAGTTATTTCAATAACTGATTTCTTCAGAGCAGGACTAATCAGTCAGGATGAGTCTCCAACATACCCCTGCCTCTGCTTTGGGAGTTTATGACTCTTGCAGACAATAAATTTGGGAGGCATAGAATCATGGAATGCTTTAGATTAGAAGGGACTTTAAAGATCATCTTGTTCTGGTCTGGCCTTGAACACTTCCAGGGATGGGGCATCCACAGCTTCTCTGGGCAACCTGTTCCAGCATTTTGACCTTCTTGCCCTGTATAGAAACACTGAGAGATTATGGTAAAGTAAAGCGTGCAGTCACAATGGATGATGATACCCTGTTTTTTGTGCCTGAGATATATTGATGCTTGTAGTGGTGCAGTAGGGGAAACAGGTATTCTGCCAGTTAAGTGGCCATAGTGGTTGCCTCTGAGGATGTGGTGACTCCATTCACACGTGTCCTGGCAAAAAGAAGGTTGGTTCAACATTCACACAGCTGTCATGAGCTACAAACTTACGGATCTAAGCACCTTCGCGATTTGCTTAGGTGTTTAACATGGTGAATATATTGGCTGGTTTACAGGCAACACGAAAAGAAGCTAATTGTTTCTTTAGACAATTAAAACCAAGTTGTTTAGCTGTGTTCCTGGGGAAGCAGTGCTAGAGTGCCTTAACAAGCAAGTCACTGTTTGCTCGATGACAGATTTGGTGCTAATTTTGCTGCTGTCTGCTCCCGTTTGTGTCCCGTGGTTGTGGATGAAAGCAACAGAGCAGTGATTAGCTCAGACCTGGCTGAAAAAAAAACCCAGTAGCTTCTGAAGAACAAGGGAGTGAGAGTATATTACCCTCTGGCGTTTTTATTTTATTTAGCAGGTAAAACTGTTCATTGAACCAGAGTTCATTTCCAGTGGTACCCCAGCAGACTGCAGCAGCAGGATGAATTACCAATCACTCACAGTGCAAATAGGAATCATTCAAACCCCAGATCATACGTACCCAGGAGATCAAGTCTCTTGCACTGCACACTACACAACTGCCAGTGTCTCTCCCTTGCCTCCGAAATCCTATCGAGCATCTTGCTCCCTGTTTTAGTCCCCAAATCACATTTTTATCTGTGTTCCCCCCAATGGGTTTTGATTATAATGCTCTTAAACAGAAGCTGGGCGGTTCACAGGATTAGACTCTCTTAGCCACCAAATTAATGGAAATTGGAGTATATGCTTCCTTTGAGGATATACTTTCCTTTCAGGAGCTTTGACTTGGAGGATCATTGGTGAGATAATATTGGGAGTCTTAACTAATCCCCTAATGATTGTAGCAGGGTGAACAAGTCTTATCTGTAACAATTAGCCCAGTCGTCCACCACAAGGCTACTCTTACCTGATAAGTGGGTTTTTGCATTGAAAAGGATTTTTCTCCCTTTGCTTTGAAGCTGGTGGCTGTGCAAAGCCCCAAACCTCACGGCGAGGCAGCGTGAGAGCCTTCTTGGGGCTGGGTCAAGCTGTCTTTCTGCTCCCTTTGGAGCATGGTGTATTCCAGTCACCGAGTTTATTAAAAATGCATGTGTTAAGTGATGGGATAATTACGGCAAGTTTGTCTGGGGATGGATAGCAGCAGAGAGAGAAATTGAAAAATGTGTCTGAGAAAAGATACTGACTGTCTTTAGAGAAAACAGTTTTCAGGGGGTGGTTTGGTGGCATACAGTGCAACTGCTGGTGCAGGACAGATGCAGGACACCAGTCTGGGAGAGGTGGGTCATCCTCAGCATCTCCAGGGCTGTTGCCAGTGCTCCCAGCACTTACGTGGTTGAGGTTTATTGGCACCGTATCCTTCCTTTTGGATTTTCCTCAGTCTGAACGGTCTTGGTTTGGGAGGGTGCATCTGCACGTGCTGGTTGCATCAGGAAGGTGGTTTGAAGGGTAAAGACTGTCTCTTGACTGTGGCTGGCACCCAGTTTTTGCCTGAGGGTTGCTTGACTGATGCAGCAGACCATTAATTTGCAGACAACCCGGGTATCTCCGAAGGCAACTTCGTCAATTGGCAGGAGGTAAATAGATGGTGCCTTTCTGAATAAAGCAGGGCTGGAACCCTCTCTGTTGATCATCCCTTCCAAACTGGGTGTATCTGCTGTTGCTCTCTAATCGCTTCTTTGTTTTACTTGTCTGAAACCTCTTGGCTGTGAGAGAGGTTGGGTGGCCTCGGAGCAGGAGAGGTTTTGTCACGGTGATTAGTTGGTTTAGCTAGAGTGCTGGAGACCTTTGTCCATATGCTGCCAAAAGATGAAAATGATTATTATTATTTGCCCGCTTCACAGGGAGACTGTGAGGATTAATTCATGTTTGTAAATTGCTTTGGAGATTCAGAGCTCTGTAAAAGCACTATGGATTATTGCTTTCTAATTCTTCAAGGTGGTACAACATCTATAAAGACTTTTAGCCTCGGAAGCATCTTGGAAATGGGAGGAGTTAAGTTGCTTTGAAATTAGATATACTTCTAATTTTTAAGATAAAAACAACTCTCTGATGCTTCTTCCAAAAAAGGAAAAAAAAAAAAAAAAACCACAAAACCAAACTAAACCAGTGGCAGATTGTGACAGTGCCTCTTCTTTTTTTTTTCCAGGAGTCCAACGTGCTGATTGCTGCTAACAGTCAGGGTACAATTAAGGTAAGTTATTTCATGCATCTCCTCTTTAAACATTTGAATCTGTTGTTAGTAAAGAGCAAGGTCAGAGAAACCGGGCAGCCAGGAGAAACCATTAGAGGAGGTCATCCCAACTGTAGAACTTTGTAATTTAAATGATGTATTTGCCTCTGGCACACGACGGAGCGAGCAGACAGTGCACCAGCAATGAAAAAGAGTTAAAGCAAGGTGTAGAAATACTGCTGGTGGCCTTCCAGCACCTGCTGTCCCTCCAACACTCCTTGGGGTCTTGGTAGCACAGAGTCTGGCACCAGCATCTCCCAACCAGTTCTTGTGGCAGTGGAGGCTGGGTGTTAACTCCTGGTGGCCTTCCAGCACCTGCTGTCCCTCCAACACTCCTTGGGGTCTTGGTAGCACAGAGTCTGGCACCAGCATCTCCCAACCAGTTCTTGTGGCGGTGGAGGCAGGGTGTTAACTCACCAGCATTAACCAGAGCCTGTCCTCTGGTTGCTGCTGGTGACACTGGGTGCAGCAGAGCTGAGAGCTGAGCTCCTGATGTGCAGCCAGCTGGAGCAGTGTTTGAAATGAGCAGGGATGCTCCCTGGCTTTGCTCTACTCCTGGTGCCGAGACTGGCTGTAACACACAGCAGCTGCCAGCAAAGGGGGTTGTGAAAGCTTCCTCATGCTCCAAGAAGCCAGTGTTCTGCCAGGTTTTCAATACTTAAAGTGTCTCTTCAGTCTATCTCTATACATTAAATGTCAAGTAATATGGAAAAGATTTTTGGCCTTCTTTACATGTTTATCAGGCAGCCAAGCAAAACCAGTACCCAAACCCAGGCTGGTGCTGATCCTCCAGAGACCAGTGTACTCGGCACTGGTGAGGCCTCACCTTGAGTACTGTGTCCAGTTTTGGGCCCCCTACCATAAAAAAGACATTGAGGTGCTGGAGCGGGTCCAGAGAAGGGCAACAAAGATGGTGAGGGGTCTGGAGAGTAAGTCTTATGAGGAAAGGCTGAGGGAACTGGGGTTATTCAGCCTGGAGAAGAGGAGCCTGAGGGGAGACCTTATTGCTCTCTACAACTACCTGAAAGGAGGGTGTAGAGAGATGGGGGTCGGTCTCTTCTCTCAAGTCACAGGTGACAGGACAAGAGGAAATGGCCTCAAGTTGTGCCAGGGGAGGTTCAGGCTGGATATTAGGAAAAATTTTTTCACTGAAAGGGTTCTCAGCCATTGAAATGGGCTGCCCAGGGAGGTGGTTGAGGCACCATCCCTGGAGGTGTTCAAAAGACGGGTTGATGTAGTGCTGGGAGGTATGGTTCAGTGATGATGCTCCTTGTTTGTTGGGTGGGTGTCTATTTTTGTCAGTTAGGTTGACGGTTGGACAAGATGATCTTTAAGGTCCCTTCCAACCTAGAAGATTCTGTGATTCTGTGATTCTGAGAGCTGCAGTTCTGATGCCATCCCAAATTGTACACAGCAGTATTGACCTCCACCGTCCTTTTGAGGCTTGGTGGTTAACACTGCAAGCTTTGTAGCCCAGAGCCCTGGCAGCTTTATGTAGCTGCTCATGAAGGGGTTTACTTGCTGTTTGTAGAGTTACACACTGGATTGTCACTGTCAGGAAGCTGAGGTCCTCATCCTCATCTCTGCTTGCATCCCTGGGATGGTAGCAACTCTCTGGAGCCAGACTGGAAAAATCACAAAAAAAGCTGAAAACGGGGAGACCACAGTGGTCTGTGTTTGACTACATGTCAAGATCGATATTCATTTTATTTTATTTTTTTCCCCCTCTTTTTTAGGCCACGAGTGGCCTGGTTACTCCTGCTCTTGCAGCATGAGATGCTGTAGCCTCTCGTTCCTAGGCTTTTTATTCAGCAGGCTGTGGAATTGGTTGCTCATTACTTTGGTCACTTCCTTCTTAGTAAAATGGGGAAAATGCACAGCCGCTTCTGATATCTTGAAGTGAATCCAGCAGCAAGAGAAGAGTGATTAAAGAGGAGAGGTTTTGCTTATGCACTTTGCTTGTTAATGAGAAGAGGTAGACAGAGAAATGTGCAAAAGACCAGGGCTGTCTAATAGCAGAACTCTGCTATTTCCATTTGCCTTTGGCAGCACACGGGGGGAAGTGGGATGGTCTGGGAAAGGACTTGGAGATTAGGAGAGGGTTCTTCACTGTGAGGGTGGTGGAGCACTGGAACAGGTTGCCCAGGGAGGTGGTTGAGGCCCCAGCCCTGGAGATATTCAAGGTGAGGCTCGACGAGGCCCTGGGCAACCTGGTCTAGTTGGGGGTGTCCCTGCTGACTGCGGGGAGGTTGGACTAGATGGCCTTTGGAGGTCCCTTCCGGCCTGGGCAATTCTATGACTCTATGATTCTATGACTGGATTTGCACAAACCCAATCCAATCTGGGGACAGATGCCATGCACCCATGGGCTAAAGCTTCCCCCAGTAAAGCCACCCTGTGTTTATGAGGGCTGTCACCTGCAGAGTGATTTACACAGCCTGTGTTGTTACTTTATCTCTAGACCATGCCTTCAGAGGTTGCTGTGCCATCTTAGCAGGGACAAGGGAAATGTGAGCACAGAGAGCTGAGAGGACAAAATCTCTGATCTCCACTACAAGATTTCCAAGGGCTGGTTGACTGGGATAAGTGAAAATAAGACAACTGGAGATGGTTTTGCTTCATGCCCATAATTTATCCTAGTGCCAGCAGACATCGAAATCGGGATCCTTGCCAAGTGCTTATCCCATTTGTGTAATATTATTGCATTGCTGGTGAATAAAGGGTAAGGGGTGGAGACGGAAGGGTCAGTCCTGTCCTAGTGATCTATATGCTGATGTAGGAGATAATGAATGTCATAAATTGCTATTCTAAATGTCTTGTCTTCCCTACTAATCAGGTACTAGAGCTGGTATGAAGGGTTTTCTCTCAAGGCATGAGGTACTTGGTCCGGCTGATATGCTACAGTATTCATCTGGGATCCTCAGCGGGACAAGAAACCGAAACCACCTTGATGTTCCTCCCCAAAACCATCATGTTTGGGTTGTTTTTTTTCTCCATTTATGGACTTTCTGGGACGTTTTAAGACACTGGAAACACCAGTGAACTGTCTGCCATCAACATTAACTCCACAGACTTTGCTGCTGCTGGTGGTGGTGGTATGGTTGTCTAATTTTTATGATAGGAAAACAAATTCTTTTAAATAAAAACAAAAAGGAATAATAAAATTTATTGAGCCACAAGCTGAAGCTGGAAGATTCTCTCTTGTTGCATATGGGAACAGATTTACATGGGAAGGGAGCTTACAGAACCACATAGGGCTGTCCTCAGTTGCACATCTCTGGTTGCTTTCATCTGGACTGTTCCTTCATCCCCTCTGGAAAAAGAAAGTCTCTAAGCCTTACTTGGACATGCAAGCAATCTGCTTTGAGATCCCATAACAGTATGGCTGAGTTGTTCCTTTGATTTATTTTTGGTTTTTTTAGATGCATTAAATGTTGAGAAGTGTCACCCAAGTTGACACCGCTGGAGACTGAAGTCCTCTGGTCATCAACAAGAGAAGGGCAGCTTCCCCTCTCCTTCCTCCTCTCCTTCCAAAGGGGCAGCTCCAAAGTAGAGAAGTATGTTGTCCTGTCCACATAAACCTGGGCCTCTCTGCCTGCCACCAGCAAGGTGCTGATATGAGGTGACCTGCAGTTACCTGGGACCTGGACTGACCTCACCAAGATGCTGTGGGATGATAAGTCTCACTCACACACACAGACACACACACGCACGCACACATTGTCCTGGCTGTGTTTGACTATCTCAGCTAGAGGAGGAAGCTTCTAGATCCAGTTACCAAAGCCCTGCACCACTTAATTGCCCCGTGTGGTCTGGTTGCATTGGCCCCTCTCTGCACACCATGGAAGCCAAACGTTTTGAACCTTGTAACAAGAGAGGGGCTCGGAGTTGGTTTGTAACGTGTTTCAGAGCCATGATATAAGTAGCCTTATTTTTAATGGTCATGCATACACTTAATTGTACATACGGAGGGGGAATAAACCATGATGCTAAGAGTGGTCGTTGCTTTGTTGGCAGGATAGTGGGAGGGGGAAGAAGGTGCAGACGTTCTTCACGAGTAGCAGCCGTGCGGAGCTGTCAGGATTGCTGCCAGAATTCGTCAAGCTTGAAAGTGGAATTGGTGGGCGTAGCATCTTTTTCCGAGCTGCGGGTGGCCAAGGTGCAATGTACACAGTGATACCTGGAGGAAGTGTTTTGGTTTGCAAACAGAATCCCTGTGTTCATTCATTGCAGTACGGGTAAGTCTCCCTCGGATCTCTGAGGATGAAATTGCTGCAGGGACTCCTCTCTCTGGGTCACCAAAGCAAGGCCCTGCTGCAGCCTCGGACCACTCCTTAAGGACCTATAACTGATGGTGTCGTGTGGAAGGTGCCTCTCATCTTCCAGGTGTTAAAAGCTTGATTCTGATCTTCCGAAAAAGATTGTGAGGTCTTTGGATGTCCTTTGGTCCTTTTGGAGAGAAAATTAAAAGAAGGATGTTCTTTGGGCTATGAACAAAGGAGCAGGATGGAGCCTTACAGCAGAGTTGGGGTAGGTCCTGTCCTGATTCAATGTTGGTGCCTGTTTCCATCATGGTCATGGGGAACTTAGCTGTTGGTTGAAGAATCACCTGTGACTCTCAGCTAGAAGAGTGTGGGGGATACTAAAATTGCTGTTGGCTTCTGGAGGGTCTTGTCCAGTGGGGAACAACACAATGATGAGCTCCAGGAGAGCTGTGGATGGCTCTCAAATGCTGTGGGCTCGTTTTCTTCCATGGTTTCTGGCATACCAGTGCGGGGTGAGAGCAACGAGAGAAGGGACCGTGCTAGCTCTTTGTCCTGCTCTGAAGTGCTGTCTGCAGGTCCCCATTGCATGACTCACCCAAGTCAGAAGGCTTATGGAGGAAATGCAAGGTTCTGCACCTGGGCCAGAACAATCCTTGCCACCAATACAAACTAAGGGGTGAGGTATTGGAAAGCAGCCCTGAGGAAAGGGACTTGGGGTGCTGGTGGATGAGAAGCTGGACATGAGCAGGCAGTGTGCAGCTGCAGCCCAGAAGGCCAATCCCATCCTGGGCTGCATCAAAAGATGCGTTGCCAGCAGGTCCAGAGAGGTGATTCTGCCACTTTACTCTGCTCTGGTGAGACCTCACCTGGAGTATTGTGTGCGGGTCTGGAGCCCTCAATATAAGAAGGACATGGACCTGATGGAGAGGGTCCAGAGGAGGGCCACAAGGATGATCAGGGGGATGGAGCACCTCTGCTACGAGGACAGGCTGAGGGAGCTGGGGTTGTTCAGCCTGGAGAAGAGGAGGCTCCGGGGAGACCTAATAGCAGCCTTCCAGTACCTGAAGGGGGGCTACAGGAAGGCTGGGGAGAACCTGTTTAGAAAGGCCTGTAGTGACAGGACGAGGGGCAATGGCTTCAAGCTGGAGGGGAACAGATTTAGACTGGAGATGAGGAGAGGGTTCTTCACTGTGAGGGTGGTGGAGCACTGGAACAGGTTGCCCAGGGAGGTGGTTGAGGCCCCATCCCTGGAGATATTCAAGGTGAGGCTCGATGAGGCCCTGGGCAACCTGGTCTAGTTGGGGGTGTCCCTGCTGACTGCGGGGGGGTCGGACTAGATGACCTTTGGAGGTCCCTTCTGGCCTGGGCAATTCTATGATTCTGTGATTCTATGAAATGCAATTGGTTCCTTCTGTCTAATGGCAGCTGACGTGTCCCACTGAGCACTAGCTTAATTTCCATTTTGCTGCATTTTAAGAGAATCTGGTGCTGGGTGATTGTACTGGGCTGTGCTGGAAGAACATTCTTCCCAGCCAGCCACTTCTGAAGGCAGAGCTGGCATGAGGAGCAATGGCCATCGCTCTTGCTGCTTCCCCTAGTTTCAGGCATGGGTTTCCCTCAGCCTGTGGCTTCTTTATTGATGCCCACTAATTTATTTTGCAAGCTGCTGTCGTACCCCTGCTCTGTGCTGCACAGCTGCTTCTTGGCAGGTGACCTCATTCCTTCTCCCCCCACATTTGAAGATCCTCTGTATTTTAAATTGAAATCACTCCAAAGAAGCTGAGATCTTAAAATCAGAAGAAAAAAAAACAAAACAACCAGCTATTTTGAATGCTGCAAGGTTACCCCTTGAATTAAAGAGGAAAAACAGTTTAACATTGGCTGCCTTTATTTTTTTGGGTTTCATTCTGTTTCCATCAAGATAAAATGCAAATTTGGTGTCTGGCCCTAATTAGAAACACAGCAGCTCATAAACACAAGTTGATGGCATTTTTTGTCTTTGTCACAAGTGGTACGCTCCGTATTTTAATCCCCTTAATTTTCTTTCCTTCAGGTAACTCTTTGCAATTGACATATTAAGTCGCGTGTAATTGGTTACTGTAATCTTATGGGTTTTTTTTAACGGCGTTTGCTCAATATTTTTTTTAATTAGTCATCTCCTCAACAGATGGTCCCTGTCAGGTTTTCAGCCTTTTTAGAGTCAGGGAGTGACTGAGTTTCAGAGGGACATCCGGAGGTCTCCGGTCCGACCCCCTGCCCAGAGCAGGGCTTGCCTCAGAGTTGGATGAGGTTTCTCCAGGGCTTGGAGATGTTCACAACTCAACTGAGCAAGGACCGGAGATTTGTAAATCCCTCTGGGAAACTTGTTCCAGGGCTCAACAGCTCTCCTTGCAAAAATTAATTGCAGATAGTGGGCACTTACGGTCATTATTCTCATTTTCTTCATTTGAAAGAACAGGGTTACAAAGCCCTTGGCTGAAAGCTGCCCTAGAACAGTTTTGCCTCCAGCATTCCTGTCCCTGCAAGAGGTGTTGGGTGAGTCAGATTTTTCTTTGAGAAAGCGAATTTAAAACCCTGCCTGGCCAGCCAACCTCTTTAATTAATTTTAAAGCATTTAATAGAAGAGTAGGAGGAACATGCCTCAGTACTAAAAAGAAGTTGAGTGCTGGAGGGAATCCAGCAGAGGTGATTGCATCCTGCCTCCTGTCCCCAGTGCTCCCCACAAAAGCAACCCCCTGCCCAGAGCAGGGCTTGCCTCAGAGTTGGATGAGGTTTCTCCAGGGCTTGGAGATGTTCACAACTCAACTGAGCAAGGACCGGAGATTTGTAAATCCCTCTGGGAAACTTGTTCCAGGGCTCAACAGCTCTCCTTGCAAAAATTAATTGCAGATAGTGGGCACTTACGGTCATTATTCTCATTTTCTTCATTTGAAAGAACAGGGTTACAAAGCCCTTGGCTGAAAGCTGCCCTAGAACAGTTTTGCCTCCAGCATTCCTGTCCCTGCAAGAGGTGTTGGGTGAGTCAGATTTTTCTTTGAGAAAGCGAATTTAAAACCCTGCCTGGCCAGCCAACCTCTTTAATTAATTTTAAAGCATTTAATAGAAGAGTAGGAGGAACATGCCTCAGTACTAAAAAGAAGTTGAGTGCTGGAGGGAATCAAAAATGATGGTCAAGGGGAAATTTAAATTAATATCAATATGTCAGGGCTCTTCAGCAGTGAGTGTATGGCTGCTAATGCCAGCATTCGACTCGAGCACTGGAGCTTTATTTATTTAGGGTAATTTTGTTTAACTATGGAAGGTCATAATGACAGCAGCAGGTAATTGGAAAGGCAAATCTAACTCCTTCCTTGCTCAGAAGTCCTCTTTCCTTTCTCACTGCTTTTGGGAGGCCAGAAATACCCAGCGAGGACCTGTGCAACCATCTGAGGGTGAAGTAGAGAGTTCCCTGCTGCATTTGCCATGAAGAGACCATCTCATGTGTCCCGTGTGTGCAGGCCGCTGTGCTGGCCCTGGTGTCCAGCAGAGGTGATTGCATCCTGCCTCCTCTCAGGCCCCAATGCTCCCCACAAAAAAGAGAGTTCCCTGCTGCATTTGCCATGAAGAAACCATCTCATGTGTCCCATGCGTGCGGGCAGCTGTGCTGGCCCTGGTGTCCAGCAGAGGTGATTGCATCCTGCCTCCTCTCAGGCCCCAATGCTCCCCACAAAAACTTTTACTTGAGGCCAACCTCACAAGATCCTCCTCGCTTGCTCTCTGAGAGGGGTTTGCCTTCCTCTCAGCAGTGCAGAGCTCAGTCATGGGTATAGAGCTATTATGGACCTTCTGTAGGAGCTCAAGTGGTGTCACCTGCTTTAAATGTTGAGGAGCTGAGGGGGTTGGCTAGTGGGAAGGTGGGTTTAAGGCTATGGGAAGCCGTGAACTGTCGCAGGGTTTTATCAGAGCCTACATCTTCTGCCTTTCAGAAAAGCACTAGTAGCCCTACTTCCCACATAGTTTGCTTTAGTTTTGATTTCCAGAGTGAGCTGCAAGTGGGTTCTTGAAGTGAAGGTCTCCTCATCCTTATCTCTGTTCAGTATTTGGGGATTCTGGTCTTTAACATCTTTATAATGGAATTAAAACATTTAGTTGGGTTAAAACAAGAACTTCTTCCTCAGCTCCACGTGTTATCGAGCCATTTGAGTTGAGTAGGTTTTGCCAAGGACCTGTTTTAAACCTTTCCATCTTAATTTTCACACCTTAAACCAAATGGTTGGCCATTATTACTCAGCAGGGGCAGGACAAGAATTTGTCCCATAACATGGAGCAGCACAAAAAATTCTCGGGAGAGGGAAAGAGCGGTCTTTTTGGCGTCTCTTAGAAATATGAGAAGAAAAAAAAATAAAATATGAACATTCCTTGGCCGAACTGCAGTGCAAGGGGAGAAGGTGGTTCCAGTTCTTCCAGGACCCCAGCTTCTCTCAGGACTTTATGGACCTTTCAGGTGAGGGAGATTTTCATGCACCCATCGTAGCCTCTCTTCATCTGCCTGGAATAGCAAGTGTGTGCAACGTGCCTGCTGCAGCCTGTGGTGGAAAACAGCTCACTGGGGAGTGGGAAGGAAGAACAATCTCATCTGTGATAGTTGGTTGCCCAAAGCCTCTTATCCATCCACCGACCAAGGCAGAGGGAGGCAGATTCATTTTTTCCTTTCCCAGTTTTGCCTTCTCTTAATGGTATTGCTGCCTCCC